GCTGAGAAGTTGTGACTTATCCAAGGCTATCCACTGGGTTTCCATGGCTGTTCAGAGATTTGAACCCTGGTCTCCAGAGTCATAGTCCAACACTCAAACCACTACAACAAGTTGGCTCCCAGAAAAATACAGAGAACTTGCCCTTTGAATCAGAGAATTTTCACAGCGGAGGATGAACAACGAAGAGATTATCACATAAGGATATAAACCGGCTTACCTGAGCCATCTTAAAATTGGAAGTGGTCAGCATCCTAATATTATGAGATGCATTTAGCCACCAAAATAGCTGCCAGGGTGTAGCCTGGGTCCATCGCCACTTGAAGGGGTGCTCCTTGTGCCTATTTTCGAAGCCAGGAGTTTTCTGGCTTGAAAAAATGGTCACCAGAGTGCCCCTCTGAGCGGCGATGGACCCTGGCTGCACCCGGACGGCAATTTCAGCAGCTAAACGCATCTGATAATATCAAGATGCCACCTGCTTCTAATTTTAAGCCTGCTCAGGTAATCCGGTTTATATCCTTATGCGATAATCTCCTTAGAGACAATTATTATTACTGTTATTATGATCATTATGATTATTTTTTTGTATCCTGCTCTTTCCCAAGAACTAGGACCCAGAGCGGCTCCCAACATTAAAAGAACAATACAATTCAAGAAACAGCTATAGCTATTTACTCATTTCATTTGCAGTGGAACTTGAAGGATTTCTTTGTGAAAATTTCACAAAGTGTTTTGCACATGTATTTATTTTATTCGCACAAGTCTTGTCCCCTCTCCCCCATTCTACTTTTCTAACCCTAAGCTATTGAACATGAAGAAAAAATGAGAGAGAGAGAGAGAAATAATGTTGATTATTTTGCTCTTGTGCAGAGGTGAAAAAAAAATTGTGGTGGCTGATATTTTCTTTTTGGATTGTGTGTATCATCAACATTTCAAGGCACTTTTTGGTATCATGGATGAAAACAATGTGGAGCTTCCTTTACACCCCTGTTCTGAATGGAGTGCCAAGCACAGGAATAGCAAATTCACTACATGGGTACCTTATAAAGTCTGTAGCCCTACAGGTGTTTTGGTCTGCAATACCTATCAACCCCACTCCAAGTGTAGGCAGTGGAAAGTGATTGTGGGGACTGTAAACCAAAGCATTCAGAATAGAGTTTTGCTATCTCCACCATGGAGTTTTCCTCTTCTCACAAATATACAAATTAATTATTTCATTCCTCAGATACAAACTCATCAAAATATATAAGAAAAAAGATGGTAGACCTTTTTTTTTTTAAAAAAAAATTGCAGTCAGATCACACATTGAAGAGGAAGAGCTGATAATCTAGGCGTGTAGTTGCTAGTCAGAACAAATGACACTGAAATCATGGAAATTAAAGTATAATGATTTGATCTGTTTAATATAAATGTTAGGCTTTATTTGAACAGTTTGGAGGCTTTTTGGGTTTACCACAGGTCACTCAGTCTCAGTAATGAGAACTGATATAATTCATCATTAGAATAATGAATCTTTATGCATTGGTATATGAATACTTTTTTTTTAATGTCCAATTTAAGATTTGAATACATATCTTTTGCCAACTGAGCAAACTGCACCCAACATACATATGTGTGTATTGGTGTGGAATTGGCTCCTTGATTAATCAACAGTTAGCACTAGATTAGAAAGAATAGATGGGCTGTTGAATTTGTCCTCAGATGGAATGTATTTCATCACCTGCAACAGTGAAGAAGCAATGTTGATTATTTTTCTCTAAAGCTAGAGAATGTTCTCAGATCTGGAAAGGGTTGTTTTGAATTAGTTAAGGAACCAAAGGATTAGCTACTTCAAAATCCTTAAGCCAGAGATGTGTATCATAGAAAGTCCATTTTACCTTGACTTGCCTTTGGAAGGATTCTGTGGAATTGATGCTATTTTAGTTAAATCCATTCACATTGAATTAAAAGTGCCGTCTCACAACACAGATTATTCCTCATTTTCACAGTTCCTTCTGATGTTAATGAGATTTACCATATGGTCTGTGAATGCAGAACATAAGTAAGCTTCCTTTTTTTCCATTGGATTCCTTCAATTTTCTGAGGGAGCAGACAAGGCTTTCTGGTCCATGCTGTGAACAAACACTCAACTAGTTCTTTTTCCAGTCTATAGATACTGAAGCAACAATATAGCATCATTACAAGGTGTCATCAGATGAGAGAGCAATATATCTCATGTAATTTCCCCACTGTGCCAGGTTTCCCCTCCCATTAATTTGCTTCCTGTTTTCTATCAGCCCTAGAACATATTGGTTTCACATCTGCATGCCATAACAGAAATATTGATCTGCTAGGCCACTAGTAGGCAATAAAGGAGGGAGAGGGACCTTATGGACCCCAAAAGGTTTTTGACTATAGCTTCTCTAACACCCCTAACATCATGCTGAGTGGAGCTTCTGGGATTTGTAACCCAAAACATTTGGAGGGCCAAAATGTCTCCACTCATATATTGGGGAAAACACTGGCATAGAATTCCTTCAATGGTTTTGCTTTACTTAATGCATGGGTGGGGATTATGCAGCCTTCCAGATGTTCTTGGGTTACTACTCCCACCATTCATCATTATTAGCTTTGCAGGGCTGCTGGGAGCTACAATGCCGGTGTGACCCATAAAGCCCTATAATGCTCAGGTCCATGTTATTTGAAGGACTGTATTCTCCCTTACAAACCAGCCTGTGCTTTGAGGTCTGCTGGGAGGCCATTCTCTCTTACCACCTCCACACTTGAATCTGGAGGGAATATGGAAAGCGTCTTCTCAGAGGGTGCCCCCGGAGAAGTTCAACTAGCACTCTCCCTGCTTTTTTTTTTTTTTTTTTTTACAGACAAGTAAAGATGTTTCTATTTAGACAGGCATTTGATAAGTGACTCTGTAAGCCCTGTCTCACCTAAACATTGTGCTGGATCTTGCTAATTGTTGTACTGGTGTGTGTGCGTGTGCATGTTTAATTATGTATGTTTTAACCTGGCTTTGTATTGTTTAATTTTAGTTAACTTTTGTAGCTTGTGAATTTTTAACAATGCTTTTTAATTTGTTGTAAGATGCTTTGAGACCTGAATTGTGTAGAGCTATATTGCTGTTCAAATACATGCATCTAGAGGCTGGGATGAACAATATAATGTGCTACTTTCTATTCCACTTTTCCTTGAGATGAAGTTCTACCGTGACAATCAGAAATTGATTGCAGGATATGCAGTGAGAATGAGGGTAAGATTAAAGCCTCTAGTGAGCCCTGGTGGCGCAGTGGTTAAATGCCTGTACTGCAGCCACTCACTCATAGGCCACAAGGTTGCGAGTTCAATACTAGCCAGGGCTCAGGCTAGACTCAGGCCTGCATCCTTCCGAGGTTGCAAAAATGAGTACCCAACTGTTGGGGGGCAATGAGCTTACAGTTGTAAACCGCTTAGACACCCCATAGCGCGGTATGAAGCGGTATATAAATGAAGCTGCTTTGCTTTGCTTTGCTTAATGCTAACAGTAAATACAGCAAACAGTTATAGCAATCATATTCTGATTAGTGTCCAATAGTGCCAAAATACTTGCAGATTTGAGAGATTCTTGGATTTGGAGTCACAAAATATTAACTTTTCCAAGTGCTGTGACTGTCTCATAGGAATATATCAAGTCATCTCATACCAAGTCTGAGTGTGGGCTGCTGTAGTTCAGGATAGTCAACATTGATTCATGGAACCTCTCAAAGGTTTTCCAGGCCCTTCCTGGTGATGAACCATTGAACTATGGGAGAAGAGATTCCACCAAAACATTAGGAAGAATTTCCTGATGGTAAGAGCTGTTTGACAGTGGAATACACTGCTTTGAAGTGTGGCAAGTCTCCTTCTTTGGAGGTTTTAAAACAGAAGCTGGCTGGCCATTTGATGGGAGAGCTTTGATTGTGTATTACTGCATGGCAGGGGGGTGGACTGGATGACCCATGTGGTCTCTTCCAGCTCTATTATTCTATTATCTTTATGCCTTGTGACCTCCTCCCACAGTTTGCTATCATATGTAAAGACATGAACGCTTGATAATCATAGAGCAGTTCAGAATAGCAATCACTTCCATAAGCACCTTGCATCACCCACTTTATAGCACTGCTTCAAGTATCTGCTCCCACAACCACCACACCTTCTCCCCAATAAAGCTATCATTAGCCCAAGGGCACAGTTATTCACAACTTCATAGTCTTGGACTCTGCAGAGTGTCATGAAGTTAAGGAGCTGCTCCTTCTGGCATCTCCCAATTAGGAGTTTATCACATAGAGCAAATTGTTTAAAACCTGTGCAAATACAGGATTTAAAAATCCACACACACACCCTCTGCAAAAGCAGTCCCCCCCCAGATGTGTTTGTGTAAAGGAGAAATAATGTGTTATTAATCTGAATGGTAAATTGCCAAAACATGTTCCTTTTTACTTTTGGAAGTTCTTGAAAGTAAAAAGGAGTGGGTTTTGGTCCTTCCTGTGAAAAACAGCCCACTTTTTGTGAGTTATTTCTACTTTCTGTTTGGGTTAACCCCGAATGTCGTGTGAAAAACAATCCATTTTTGTGGGTTGTTTTCACTTTAAATCCAGTTTCTGCACAGGATCCATCCTGTGTGATAAACTCCTTAGTGGTGTTGTGGATACCAGGTGTGGTATAAAGCTTATCAGTCTTGGTTGTCCAGTCAAGTGTGCATGTCTGCATGCACATGTGCATGCATGCATTTTTAAGATTCCCTCTTTACATCAAAACATGGGCATTAATTTCATGATTCCCAGGGAAATCACTACAATCTCCTTTTCCTTGGTTTGCAAAACTGATCTCTAAAGAAACTCCATTTTTAAAAGCCCATTAAACTGATATGTAATTCTAAGGAGAAACAAAATATGCATTAATATCATATTGAGGATAGAGCAAGCTTATTTTCTGCTGCTCCAGAGACTAGGACCTGGAGAAATGGGTTCAAGCTATAAGAAAAGAGACTCTATCTAAACATTAAGAACTTCCTGGCAGTAAGACCTGTTCAATTATGCCTCAGAGTGTGATGAATCCCCTTCTCTGGAGGTTTTTAAACAGAGGCTGGATGGCCATCTGTCAGGAGTGC